TAGTGGAGGAAGAAAAGAAACTTAAGAGCTCCCCTTTTTTAAGCTAAAAGTTTCCACATTACTTGATGCTCATTAGTTTATTTTAAATTATATAGAGATATAACTAATTTAACAAACAACTGAAGAATTAACTTGACTTGAGAAAGGTAGTTAATTACTTTAAGAGAATCCGTCATCACATGCAATAATACATAACATATTGGTTTTAGAAATATATTCATCTAGAATTTATATTGATTGGTTATGATGAAATCAATGTTTTAGTATCTCATATCTTAGTTTGTTTTATTTTAATTGTTACCTTTTTCTTATTATTTTTAATTAAAGTTTTTTCCTTTTCAATTGTTCAAATAAATTTAGATTAAGGACAATAATTGATACACCCTTCGTTTCAATACACTTAACAACACTCACTGGTTCAATCATTAAAAAACTAATATTTTCAAATTAATTTGAATTCAAGGTAGAAAAATTTTCAAAAGCAAATTTTAATTATTGAACTAGTGGGATTTGTTAGGTATATTGAACCGAAAGATGCATCAATCATTTTCCTTAAATTAATTATTTTTGGTATTTAGTTAATCACAATTCTCATGGGTTTAACACTATTCTCATCATTACATTATTTGGAGTGATTAGTATACTTATTAAAGTGATTTTAACACATCATTTTCCATAGCCACAAATCTCCTTAAACCCACTATTCACAAATATCAAATATGAAGAACTAATATTTTTGGTCTTAAATACGAGAGATGGAATTTGGTGGGAGCAAAGGGATCTTGCAAGGATCATAATAGGTGCACACCCGGATCCCATACCCGGGTGTGCACCCCTCCACATAAAAAAAAAAGTTGGACCAGGTGTTGGATCTTTTTTTTTTTTTGTGGGGAGGTGTGCACACCCGGGTGTGGGATCCGGGTGTGCACAAATCATTATCCATCTTGCAAACATAGGTCATAACTGTGGCTTTCGTAAGCGATGAGCACTCAAGGGAGGATAGGGAAGAGACGATTAAGTTATTTTCTAGAGGATAGGGAATTTCTCCGTTAACTTAAATTGTGGTCACTGTTGAGTTTAAACCATTTTTTGGACAAGTGAAGGATAGCTTTATTTTGCTGAACTGTTGGCGGTAGAGAAGTGTGTCGGTTCATTGTATAAATGTATCATTTTTCTATAAATTTATAATATTATATAATAATGTAATTATATCATTTTTTTAAAAATTTTTATGTGATTATTTGCTCATTATCCGGGTAATGTACTCAAATACCATACTGATTTTTGATTTGTGGATCTTGTCTTGTATCTTTTGAGCAAAAGAGGATGAGGATAGCTCAATTGAATTTAGTTTCTATGTCATGCTTCCTATTCAATCAATTATCTTAATCACATAAAATGTGTTTTCTTTTCTAAATTTTCATTGCAAAAAATTTTTATAATTAAATTAGTTTAACAAACCATTTCATATGGTAAAAAAAAGAACAAAACTAAATTAGTAATAATTTCACGGTCAATTATTATTTAAATTCTCTCAAATCTTACATTTAACAATTACTCATTATGTATCAACTTTCATTAATTTAATTTTTAATTTAAGATGTTCAAAATAATTATTTATTTTTTAAAATAAATTATTTAATGTATTTATTCTTATTTTTTAAAAAATTATACCAACCAAACTTGAACTGGTGGAGTAAGAACTAAAATTTTAACTCGACCAGCTCCAACCCCGTGCATCATCATCATGCCGGGGTGCACTTAATTTCGATGTTGTGTGACCACCAATTATTGAAGATAAGGGATAAAAAATCTTAGGCTTCGACGGTTCCACGTAGACCAAAAACAAAGAAAACTTTGTAATGCGTACCTAGTGTGGGCTTCATAAAATCAATTGCAGTGTCTCAATTGTTGGGCAATGGGAATGCATTTGGTAGAGATCTGACGTCTCGCATTTACACCCTACCAATACCAAGCTAGCTCGATGTTGACAGCAGTGGCATCTTGGTACATATAATGTCTTAAACTGGAGACCTCACTTTGGCTATGATTTATTAAGGATACGTTTCAAGCCACCTGAAACTGCAACTGTGCAGTGGTCACCCCTTTTGCTTGAAATCCCGCACACCGTCTTTGTTTTGCCGAGACAACAGCATGTTGATTTCCTTCATCTTTTGTTGCTTTTCTCAATTCGTAAACCTCCTCCCTGCTGTTCATAAATGTACATATCGTGGAGGATGTGCCTGGTAGTTGATCAAGAATGGGGAGTAGTGTTGTAGCTCCCTTGAACTCTTTTAACTTAAAATGATTCATATAGAAGAGAAATGAGTATCGTAATGCTTTTGTAATGCATTTTGGGAAATTTCTTCTAATTTTCATACGGAAATTGATGTAAATATTTTCTAGTTTAATATATTTAATAAAAAATTATTATTTTTTATGTAAAATTATTAACAAAAAAACCTTTAAACATATAATTAATTATAAATATAGCATGTGGAAACAAAAAGTGTTCAAATCATATATATATATTTTTTGCATATGATGTAGTCCGTTTCATGCTTAGGAAGTTTGAAGTAGTTCTGATTCGGTATAGCATCCTTTCAATTTGCTACTTGGTCTGGACTCTTTTGTTCTGAACTTTTCCATTCATCATTAATGATACATTTTTGGGTGATAAAATAATCTAAAGAAGCATTTTTTTTTTTTTCCTTTTTCACTAGTTCGGACAACTCTATTCTTTGAATATAAGCGCGCGACACTCTTAAGTGTTAATGTCAATGGATGTTTAAAAACAATGACTATTTGAACTAATTTTTATTTTAGTTTAAATTGCAAAACCACAATTTTAGAATTTTATTATTATAAGGGGAAAAAATTTCTAAGCTCCATTATCATAAATGTGATTGTACTTTTTCTATCATAATTCATGTCATCGTACCAAACTACTAAACTAAATAATTTGGTGTGAAATTGATTTTCCAAAGAAATGGTATGAAATTGAATAAAAATAGGCTACATGTACTTCTCCTTTGACTAATATTGTTATGTAGGGACTTCACGTGAGAGCACGTGGGAGGAGAACAGAGAAGGAATACTGAGTGAAGAAGGTGATGCATGGAAATGGCAAGTAAATGTTAGCATATATAATTAAGCATAACATGAACAAAAGAGATAGCATAGAAGTCTGGAGCCAAACCCCATTTTCTACTTTTCAATTACACTTACCTTCTTCAAGGAAAGACAAATCCTAAGATGCCTCTTTTCCTTCTCCATACACCATTCTAGAAACTTCCCCTCCTCTTCAGAAAGGTAAAACTCACTGCACTTTCATTTTCATCACACAATTTCAAAGTCAGAACAGTAAATAACACAGAAAACAACCCATGAAACTTTTAGGCACATATTGTCACCTTTACTTCCTCCCTATGGAACTTTGAAACACACACAAAGACTAAAAGTTTGAAAGCAATCCTTAGTCTTTCGGAACAGTGTGAATTGAAGTATATATTGACAATGACGAAAATGACAGAGGTACAATGTTTTTTTATACAATAGTTTATACATCATTGGTTATTTAGTCACACGTAAATCAATATGTATCGATCTACTCGTTTAATATCATCCACTCAATATTGTAAAAATTATTGTACAAGAAAATATTGTTGTACCTTGTATAGCATTGTTGTATTTCATTCATTAATTTGTACTTGTTTTCTGGTGAAGGACATAATGGAAGCATTGTATTTAAGCACACATAAATACCCTCTAATGATAGCAGATCATTATTAATGTCCTTTACCATGCATAAATACCCACTTTTTCTTCCCTTAGAAACCCACACGATCACCTTTCTCTCTCCTCCTTCTCTCAATACAAAGATGTCTACACTCAACCATCTCTTCAATCTTCCTGAGCAGATTTGCTATGTGCAATGTGGTTTCTGCACCACCATTTTACTGGTAACACTGGATATATATATTGATCCATATAACAATCTTGCTTTTGTGTTTATGTCTAATCAGATACATCTAATTTCGTTACCCTTTCTTGTGAGTAAACATGTGCAGGTAAGTGTACCATGCAGCAGTTTGTCCATGGTGGTGACAGTCAGATGTGGGCACTGCACCAGCCTCCTCTCTGTTAATATGACGAAAGCTTCATTTGTCCCATTTCATCTCCTTGCTTCTCTTGGCCGTGACAATGAGGTATATATAGAATTCCTAGCTAGGTGATCCAAGCTAATTAGTAGTTAATCAAACCTGCTCTTAATATAAGAATTAAAGTTTTTAAATTCATATTGGTTTGATTTGCGGTATGTCTAAATTATTTTGTAGTTTGAGATCTCTTTGAACCAGCCAAAGGAAGTAGTTCAGGAAGAAGTGGAAGCTGGTGAGAAGAGATCAGGGAGTAGTACTTCCATGGTGGTTTATTCTGATAATGAAGAAGAAGATGCAGTCCGAGTGAATCGCATAGTGAACAAACGTAAAGCTAGCTAGCTGCATTTTGTTTGTTGTTAATTGAGAGAACATATAATTAGAGTTACACTGATCATAACCTTTTTTTTACTCTTTTAAATTTTTGTAGCCCCAGAAAAGAGGCAAAGAGCTCCATCTGCTTATAACAGATTCATCAAGTAGGAGATTAATAATACTAGTATATAAATATTACTTTTTTGGATCAATTTGAGGGGGACTCTGAAGTGGATTATTTGTTGATTACAGAGAAGAGATCAGAAGGCTAAAGGCTCAAAATCCAAACATTCCTCACAAGGAAGCCTTTAGCACTGCTGCAAAGAATGTAAGATTTCCTAGAGTTCTCCAATTAATGTAACAAACCCTAGTTAGGCATCTCTGCTCAACATCCTTAATTAATTGACATGTTTTGAGTATGTATATCTCAGTGGGCGCATTTTCCTCCCATGCACTGCAAAAGAGATGGAGATCAGAGCTGTAGCCAAGAAGAGGTAGAGGCATCATGGAGCCCCAATGCTACTGAGGTATACCAAGAATTATACAAATTTTTTCTTTTATTATTTTTATAACAATTAAAATATCGATTCAAATCTCTAATCTCTTACCGATTCAAATCTCTAATGTCTTGGCATGTCGTGTTACTACTGAAAATCAAGCAACCAAGTTAATTTCCTTATTCAAGCTAAGCACAACTACTATAAATTATAGGTGTTTTTGCTAGCTAAACAAAGACTCCTTTTGATTGAGGTGCAAAATAGAATGAAATGCCACAAACATAGGTAATATGCAGTTTAGATTTCATCATAAGATGCTTTCATACCCAAAATGGGGATCAAAGATGAATGGAATTTTAAATTTTAGATGCGCTTAAAGGGCAATATAATAATCCAACCCCATATCTTGAAATTTGAAGGGGAGGCAGTCATTTTCTTGCAGTTCCAACTACTACATGTCAAAAATTTATTAAGGGTTAACCATTTAGGGTAGTTGAACACATTAGTTAAGACTCCTTTAGCTTGACTGAGTTTGTGGTAATTTATGCCACTGAAATGGGCTGCATCACTTTCTGTGGTAACAACTTTCAGGTTTACTTACAGGGCAATGGTTTCCGTGAAAGAAAAGCCCCAAGGAAATTTGCAAACGGAAAAAGACACCCTTTAGAGTGAAGAACAACCCCCATTTAAGGCAGAAGAAAAAAGCTCAAATCATTTGCCTTTTTTAGGGCAGATGCTCCTTGGGAATCAGTTCTTCTTCAGCTTCACTACTGCAAGTCGTAGAACTCTCGTCTCTGATCTGAAACAAATGTCTGGTTGTCATCAAAAGGTGATTGTTGATTTTCTAGCTATTTTAGATCTTATAAATTAGTGATTTATGGTAAATAAACGTGGTTTTTAGGTCTGCCTTGTACTACAAGGACATAATCTTGGGAATGCAAGGGAATGGGATATTCTATGTAAAGTAGGCATTTTGCTTTCAAATGATGTAATGCTTTAGTGTTTTGCTAGCTGTTGTTGTGACTCTGATCTTGTATGAAATTAATGTATTGAAACCATGAACAAACTCATAGGATTAGCTAGAGCATGGCTACAAATGCACCGAGCCCTTGAGTTTGAGCTCGAACTCAAGCCCACATAATTTTATGCAAGTTGACTTTATTCTCATTTCCAAATTATTAGTAGCTGAAAATACCCATAGCATTGTTTCAAGGTTCAAACTAAACTATATATATCACCTAAAAGTTACAACTATAGCTACAAGATGATTTTGCAACGATATTTTTTCTTTACTTGATTTCCATTCACTTCCAGTACTGTTTCTTTCTTGTTAGTCTTGATGTCCTTTGAATGTGTCTTCCAGCTGAAAAGTGGATGCAGGCTTATATCAACAACCAATCATCTATGAAGTTATGGCCAAATATATATATTGGAACAATATCTAAGCTATCAAGTTAAGTAACCACTATTCTTTGAAGAAAATAAAAGGTTTTGGCTCTTACTCATGATGAAGGGCCTGGGAGAAATAGCAAGGAAATATGCTTGAAAGAAGTCCCTATTCTCTTTTTGCAGCTCTTTCAACACTGCATATTCAACATCTACTTTATTATTTACTTAAACATGAATCAATGTGTGTGTGTGTGTGTGTGTGTGTGAGAGAGAGAGAGAGAGAGAGAGAGAAAGAGAGAGAGAGTACCTGTGAGGGTAATGCCTGGCCTAATGCTGGCATGCTCTGCTAGTGCCTTAACACATTGCTCCATGTTCATACGAAGGAGCAAACATCTCTCTATAAGATGCTGAACCTGTAAAAGAACAAGTTAATTCCCATGCAAAACAACAATATATATTACATACCCATTAGGAAAACCTGAATCATGAATGCCATATATAGTACTAGTGTGCATTTGCATGTATAAGACAGAACTCAAACTTGAAACTTCAAGGTTTCATTGGCCTGTAAATATCATGTTTATTGATCTCATAAGGATGATTTTCACTTACTTACCATCCTAATGTAGCTATGCGGGTTACAATGCAAACAAGGAACAAAACGGTGGTTATTACTGTACATATTTCCTTTTGAAAACAGAAAGTGGACAAAAACAAAGCGGGCCAAAAGAAGCAAACGATGAATATAGAGAGCAAGCAAACAAATAGGAAATGTGCAGGGGAAGGGAAAATGAGATATTTGTCAACTTTATAGCAGAAAACAGAGAGAGCGACTGTTATCTACAGATATCTGAGCGAAGGGCCAACAAAGCACAAGAAATCCAAATGATGGATTCACCTCATCTCTTCAGGAGATAAGAGGAAGATAGTTTTCTGTATGATGTTGCTGGGGGTCCTACTCTGCAGCCATGAACTAAATCAAGGCCATAGGATATGGTGGACTAGCTATGTGAAATGTGCAGGAGCCACGTCGAGGGTTGAGTATTTTTGGAGGAGGTTCTTCATTAAAGATGGCTTGGAGTTGGCACCACAAGCAGAGCCATCATATTAAATTTTTGTACTCGAGTTTTGGATCTCATTGGGATGACACATGTTGGAAGGAGACCAATGTGAAAGATTTAGGTCTTTGCTTCTGTGAAATTGAAAAAACCAAGTTTTTGGTAGCCCATGGAAAATTGGGGCAACATAAAAATTCTGTGCTGAAAGGCTGGGTTAGAAGCCCATGCATAATTGTCATTTATTGGGAAGCATCGACCACGGATATACTGGTTACTCGTAAAAACTTTATTTGTTCGGATAAATACTTTATCTGAATTGTAAAAAATTAAATAAGTAATTGGTATGAAAATAATATTTTTATAAATATTAAGTTAAATAACAAGTATAAAAATTTAAAATTATTTACTTAATTT